TGGCGGTTCATCGCCATCTCCCTCGGCTCTGTGATTTATGTCTCCGACCCGTTAGCATAACGCTATGAATCTGGATCCAGCGCGATCCGACTGATGTGTGCTACATACCTGTTCCAATAAGACTAACGGCTGCCAGGCGCATTTTGGGACGTTTGGTGCTCGTCGGGCTCGGTCCAGCTGCAATAAACCTTATGAAAAATATACTAAATTCTTTTGCAACTCTCTAAGCAGTGAACGCAATATTAACCTCTGCGAAATCGTTCAGTAACATAATACTCCTAACTTGATATTGGCTATAGGAAGCACATTCAATAGCGCGCGAGGGCATTTTGAATGTAGAGACATTTGTTTAGCATAGGATTTCTAGGATTACGATTACAAATAACATCACGTCATGGACGTTCTGCTCGCAGCCGAACCTCTACCACTGTAGGGGAGTACGGAAATATGTGCTATTCTCCTGACACACAATCGCCCTTCAATCTGTGCGACTACCTAGGATGTCGATATTTGTCTATCATATTGTGTGAACTTTCCCTGAACAACAACAACCCTTTCCACCTTATGACTACCCGAGCATTCGGCACTACATCATGTCCTTTAACCCTCCCCCCGTCTCTCTGTATGTATGTGCGTTTATTTACCCTGTCCCGTTGTCTTGCTTGCTCTGACTCCGTGTTCACGGAGTAAACTTGAACATTACGTACCGCATACGGCGTTCACCGGTCTAACCATGGGGTCATTTTTTGCAATGGACATTGGTGTATTCAGTCACCATGAGTTACGTGTGTTTGTCTGTCAAGTAAAACCTCCCTCTGGCCGTACCGTACGTGTGTTCTCCTCTACATCCTTATCCGCTTGAGCCGTGGCGGTTTCTCGTAACATACCCACTTGAGCTAATCGAATTTAAGGCGCAAAAAATGAGGTTTGTTTATGTCTTTAACAAGGGTGCTGTGCATGTCACCGTAGGATTTGGATCCATCCTTTGTTTTGCGCATGTTGAGATCGATATTTACGCGTACATCGGCGAGAGACATTGGTCGTAACACATGTCTATGAATCATGCATAGCACTACGGTAAATATAAAAATTTGTTGGTTGGCCATTCGGATTACACGTCGTGTGACTGATTTGTGACGCACAAGCTCAGTGTGAACCACGATCAACATTGAAGTGAACTCTGGCCACTGTCATGACTGGGACCGTACCCGAAGCAGATGAAGATTCGGTGTTGCCCGCCCGAAAACATTGTACAATCAAGAAGCGTTTCGATATCATTTTATCGGGTGGATATAGCAGGCCTCGAACCCGCAACCATTAGAATAGCAGCCGAAGCCTTTACCCCACTTGGCTACCGGGTCACGCGTCGCAATTGAATCACACAACATGTAATCAAACGTGACCGTGTAGGTAGTCATTAAGCGTTGTGTCGTGACCCTGTCTTGAACCGGTAGTTAAAGGGGTAGAGGTTTCGGCTACTACTCCAGGGGTTGTGGGTTTGAGGTCTGCTATCTCCACCTGATGCGATAAAATAATATCGAAAAGCATAGTGGTTGTGCAACGTTTTTAGGTGGGCAACTCCTAACGAAAATTTGTTTAACTTTACCTTCCGACTGGACCACTATGAATGCTCTGGAGCGTTTCTGCTAGTTACGAATACCGATCATCAGGAAACGGCCATGGTATTTTCATATGTTGTCAGCCACGCGGATCACAGATTCATTCCACCGATTGCTTGAACTCTCCAATGTTTATTTAAATGCTAAAACTCATAAAACTCATAACTCAAACACGATATTGAAATCATGAAACAAGTAGTTTTACCCCGTCAGCTCAAAGCATGAGGCATGAGCACATAGCAAGTTAAGCGGAGCCTGCTATTTTAAGATGACTGTCTGTTAATATCCTGTTGTAGCACTTTGTAAAATCGTTCAGTGGGTCGAGCATTCCATCGTTTCTGTAATTTGAGTATTGCAACAAGCATTTTTCATGTACGAAATCAGAACAATAACCTACCGGATACGTAGGACACAGATTAGGTGCGGTTGAGCTGGAAAGCACAGTGTGAACTGTAATACACTACGAACAATTTTTCCTGATTTTAGCTCGCTTAACTCTACATCAGCAGCTCAGCACAACTCACAAATCATAAGTGTAGCTACACTCTAATTGTAAGTATGAAACTCAGTCGGTCACTGGAAAGCGATGAAATTCCACGAATCCAGATGTTGTTAAAAGCGGCACCAGAGTGTTGAATGATTACATGTTGCGGTTTGTGATGACGGTCTTTCAAATCCACCGTGTTTGAGTGGTTTACGAAATTCAAGCGCGGCACACGGTCTCTGGATGATGAGCCAGAGTGTGTTGGACCTGTGGAGGCCAGCACCGCTGACAAGATTGCTGCTGTGCAAGCGATGCTGGGGGAGGACTCGTGGATGACTGCGGTAGGGCTGAGGAAAGCCATCAGGATTTCATGCGGATCACTCTGTACTATCCTACGTGAAAACTTCTGTATCAGGAAGGTACGCGCAAGCTGGGCACCCCACCAACATATTGTGGGCCAGAAAGCAGCTCGGGTGAATTGGCACCACACCATGCTCGACAGGTTTGTTTGTAGACGATCCAATGGTGCTTGGGAGATCCTCACTGGTGACGATACTTATGTGTACAGTATTGACACTGAGACTAAGCAGCAGTTGGCTTAGTGGAAAACACTTTGTGAGGTAACTCCTCTGAAATTCCAGCCTAAGCGCAGTGAGGCATAGCAGATGTCGGCTGTGTCGTTGGCCACGACTGGTCATGTGGTTACCCTACGGCTCGTACGGCAACGAAAAGTCGCCGAAGTATTGTGTGCTTCACATTGTCTCCCACAAGTTCTGGAAGCTGTAGCCAGGCCTCGACCAGGGACTCGAGCACAAAGGACCTAGCTGCACCATGATAACACACCTGCACACATGTGTCATGTCTTCCTAGATTTTTTAACTAGAGAAAATATCCAGGGGGTCAGTCACCCACATCACAGTCCAGACTTGGCTCCGCGTGACATTTCGCATTACCAAATGTCAACCGCATCGTGCATGTAATCCACTAGACGTCTTCAGGAGCTGCATTAGAAGCATTTATTGGGCTTCTTAAAGGATTACTCAATTCGGCGGGATCTAGCTGCTTCTCCAAATGGTGTGAAGGCATAGAACTGTGCCTGAACACTGGTGGAGTGTACTTCGACAAGTGCCATGCTGAGTTTGTCATAACAAATAAAACTTTTGATTGGCTGATTGTTCGCTGAGCTCGGCAGGTTGACTGCAAACGTTTCGTCACCACTCGAGGTGACATCGTCAGTGCGAGTGTATTTAGCAGTATGGCGCGTACGAGGCGCCTCGTACGCGCCATACTGCTAAATACACTCGCACTGACGATGTCACCTCGAGTGGTGACGAAACGTTTGCAGTCAACCTGCCGAGCTCAGCGAACAATCAGCCAATCAACTAAACAACCTGAGCTACCAACATTTGCTTCTATATCGCAAATAAAACTTTTGCGTATCAGGTGAACTATTGCTCGACCCTCGTACAATACACCTTTGCGTTGGATCCTCAGTATGTGTTTGATTAGTACTTGGACAGTTGGCGAACAACGGGATAAAATAATGGGTATTTAGTTACCATATTATTTATCCACTGTACCTTATCAGACTTATCAATCACATGAGTTCTTTCCATCATTTTAAGTTCGTGAAACCAAATTCATTTTTACTTGCAAGTTCGTCGCAGCAGCTTCCAAAGCAGATAGTGGCTCACTTGCCCGAAAAAGCACTAGACTGCACTTGCAATCTGTCGGGCATCATCAGTAGTGCGCATCCATGCGATCCATCAAAATTCGAACCTATGACCACCAGTGACTTGCACGCCAGTCAGCAGCTTTTGCCACTGGGTCACGGAGCACAGCTTCGGACCGTCATGATTTACAAGCCAACTACAATATAGCCCGTCTCATCCAGCATTGCTATGTGATTTACAAATGAAGCCGAGAACAGGGTTGGCCTCGAACAACTTGACGTCCACTGATGGTAGCTACGTACCACAGTATTTAGAAACCGTTAGGGCGGTTAATTTGTTATACGGGTAGGGGATTTTCGATGTAATTTGTTGCGAGTACCTCGCAGCCTGTTCTAACTCAGATAGTCGTTCAAATACCTGGAAAAGCGCTGAATTGCAATTGCAACCTGCTGGGCATCATAAGTGTTGTGCTTCAGTCGGATTACTCAGGATTCGAACCTCAGAGCAGCAGCGCCTTGCACCTCCAGTCAGCAGCTTATGCCACGGGGCAACAGTGAACACCGTCTGACTGTCAGGCTTTGTCGATGCATGTATGCATATATAACTTGCAACTGTTTATTTTGAATTTAAGCTGTAGCAAGGGCAGCGAATGAAAGAACTGGGCATCGGCATCATAAAATAAATGCTAACCTCGTCGTGTACAGGCAGTAATGACAAATTAATTTTAAGACTATCTTCCTTAGTTGATAATTGTTGAAAAATACTTTCGTCTACGCCAACAACAGCGCTCGTTTTATTTCTATCCTTTATTAAACAACTTGACGGTGTCATAATAACGTTCACTGAATTCAATTTAGACCTCATGATTTAAAGCAAACTCTATTGTGGTACATGACCCACAATCTTACATATTTTGTTTAATGCTTACCTTAGCTGCACCAGTGCGGAGATCGGTGTAAGGAACTCACAACCAGGTAATCGATCCCTATGAAAATGATAATTATAAGGCAAAAGTTATGCTCTGCTTCCTAAAATGAAATGCAGCACACACAAAACAAAGCAAGACCATTTGTAGCTGAGATTTGTTCTCAGTCAACAATCTAGGCTCACAACCCTTGACCAAATGGTTGGAGTTATACCTAGTAGGCATAGTGTGATCAAAACCCATGCAGTATACATTCAGCATTTGCTTTCATAACCGAAAAATTTGCATTTTTCCTTCAGGATGTATACAACACCTTGATAAGGTTGTATCCACATGTATATTACCGGTTCCCATGCGAATGGAACACACAACTTTACTCTTCAGTGGCCGTCTCTTGTTGTCCAACCTTTTGGCCTGATCGGCTTCCAAACGAGAAGGACTGCATTACCCGCATTAGTCCTGGAACCCCTGCTCAACCTAATTTACTAAGATTAGCCCACTTCGATAGGGATGGGAAACCAGAAGAAGGTAACCGGAAAACAACGTTTAAGGAAGGGAGCAAGGAGAGGAAGTTCGCTTTAAGCCGTGAGTGACTAAATACGGATAGTATATATTTAAGCCATGAAGCACCACATAGTTTAGCAAATGTATTCCGCCTATTATTTTTATTATCTTATTATTATTATTAGTAGTACTGTGGCTATTATTAATGGTTAAACCAAAAACTTATCATTTTGCACATAACTACTTAATATCTTCTCCGGTAAGTTTCGGTTACATTTTAAACACCAATTTCACCAGCCTGCTACATTAGTCTACCGGGTTGATTTAAAAATTGTGCCAAATATTTCTTGCGCAATGAGCAGTCTTATGGTATGACTCGTCTTGCTCAGGAATAGTTACCTTGACAGTATCCAACGTTCCTTTTGTGTTAAGCGAAGTAGAGAAATTTGACAAGTAATGCGATACTCGAATGCTCGCTTGGAGTCTGAAGTAGCGCACATAGCAGCAGATTATTTTACCTAGGCTCCTGTAATTAAATAAGTCGTTCTTCGCTCGACTGTGCGAGACGATCAAGGTTATCGCTCCTATGAAATCGTACAAATTGAAAAAGAAGATGTTTGCTTGTTCAAGCAAATAGCAAAACAACCATAGTCTCGATTTGGTGGGGTACATCTCATGTATCCTGATTCCTCCTCCCAGGAGAAGTTATGCAGCCATAACCTATTGGTCGGTAGCGCGCAAAACATTACAAAATAGCATTTCGTGTGTGTCACCAGCACGCTGCAAAATATCCTTGGCATGTGGTGTAGTCTGTCTTTGCAGGGAAGTATTCTGTAAAAAACTACAGATGAGTGCACTTTGAGCGGGAAAGTTTGAGGTTTCCGCTTCATGTAGAAATAACATTTTTGCAATGTTAATGGAGGGAAAGCAAGGCTTAATTCACCCAGGCATATTTGAACTTGTTTCCGCGGGGACTGCATCAGAATCGCAAGGCGGAGCATATTTTAAAAAAGAACAGAAAAGAGAACAAATTAACCGATATACAGTTGGAGGAAATGGGTAAAGTTATGACAGTTTTATCAAATCTAAAGAGTCACAGAAGGAGAATTATGACCCAAGTCAATGACGTGTTCAACAGTACAAAATTAATGAGGGCGGGTACAGGATGCATGCATGTTTATTGGTTCTAAGCGGTGAACTGAAATAATAGATAAAACTCCTTTTCTCATATCCATCCGTGTGCGTGCTGATGTGTAGGAATTCCAATACGTAGACGGTATTTCAAAATCTCTTCTGGAGGCGCGAAACAGTGCAGTGTTGCCTACCACACGGATGTGCAATTGCAGTATTTTTCATACGTATGCATCTCTGCAAAGAAAGTAACTATGGTAAACTTTAAAATAGCGCTGGGGAGGGACTGGAAAAGACAATTTAACACTTGTTGGGTAAAAGTATAAGAGAATACTATCTACCTTTTCTCATAGGTTCCTACGTAGTCAACAAAAGTTGAGGTCGGTCTGGCCGGTTAGGGAAAAGTATAACAGGGCCCAATGAGGTAAACGATGTCTCGGATTACATACCGTCATTGTCTTCCATTTGCACATAAAAACCACGATGTCGGTGTGGCTTAGTAAGTAAAGAATCTATAGGTGATCTGGTGAATGATGACGAGGACTCGGCGCAGGTTTTCTCTGTACCTGCGATGATGGTATGGAGGACTGTAATTAAGTAATGTCTGGTAATGATAGAATTAAATAAAGGTAAGATAGTAGACAAATGCCGATACGTTTCTTGACTACTGATCCCAGATATCGAATGTGGACACAACCTTTATATCACTTGAAAACACGCAAAGCTAACTGGGGCAAAGGATTTTAACCAAATACCCGCCTATGGGATAGACGAAGATAGGATTACGGACAGTCTTTTCTAACAAGTATTTCATGCCTCCTGCAAGTGTTTTTCTAGCCATCACTTTCGCAATTACTCTTTGTATTGAATTTACGGATTATGGTTCCCTTAGATAGCACTCTTTTGTCCATTTGTCACATTTATTCTGAAACGGTACAAGTGGTACACTTTGCTTTCAGATGCCGAGTTAATTGACAGATTTAAGGAGATGTATACTCGGTTTCGCGCGGTTCCGCTGTACTGCTTCACCTAACAGCCTACGAAAATTCGCACCAGAACTCCATGATTGCCCATCGTTGAAGCGTTCCAAGACGTGATTTCAATTGAATTCCGCCAATAACTAACCTGAATGAGGTATTTTGTCCATTGTATGCAGGAATCTTACAGACTGAAAAACGAATGGCTGCGGTTTGATAGAAAAATTTCGAAACAAATGAGCACCGTCATTTATAAATTTAGGTGTTACATGTTAGAGCTATACTTTTACTTGCATATTCGCATATTGTGTTTTACATCTGAAATATATTGATGCAATCACAAACGGGATTCGAATCGTAAAAGAATATATAAGACTAAAATCACATTTTAATAAATAAATTTGAATGTTATGACAAATTGGCCTTGGAACCTGAACCGTACATAACACCCAGGGCAATCAAAAAGGCAAAGCCAGAAGTACTACAGTGCTATCTGCAACTGATTAGACAAAATTTTAGTAACAAAAAGCAAACAATATCCTGACCAACATGTACACCATTATTCGACCTCCAAATACAACGTGCTGTCAAGTCAGGCAGAACAACCGCAACCGTCAACCAAAAGGCAAACCAAAGCGAAGCAGTTCCAATGTCATTCATACTGATGTACAACGAAGTGATCAATTGTTACTTGCTCAGACCATGCACAATGCACTTGGAACACGGGTGGGTAGGTGGGCATATCTAGCCAACGCTCATTCGGACAATGAACGTGTATCCGGAACGAAGTTACGATTGGAGGGGTGAGGGACAATCGATAGAGCATGTGCCGAGGGAAGGTGTAAATGTCTGGATGAAATTTCGGGGTAGGAAAACAAGGGAATTAAGGAGGACGTTTGTGTCATGCTTCGGTGGAATCCGACTGACTGTGATTTGTGCGTTACAACAAATATACAGTAAGTTAAATCCATGTAACATATTTCTTTAAACACGCTAGCTGCAGGAGCGAAACACCTCAGCTACTGTGCCGCAATCCATAGAAGAAAAAGGGAATAATCTTCAAAAGGTGCAAGCCAAGTGAGTTACTAGCAACGGCTGGGAGTCGTTCCGGTAAGCTACCTGCCGGCTACTGTGCAGCAAAAATACTACGCAAAATTATATAGAGCTAAATAATAAGAGGGTGGTTGGAGAGCGAGATTAAGAAGGATGGGGGACAAAGAAACTCACAGCACTAATGCCACTGAGGTCGGCTCCTAGCCATATCAAAATTGTACCCAGCCAAACGTGTTCATCGTCTTTCGGACCCCAACCAGGAAGTCAAAACGCTAAAACGGAGGCTAGCTACGAATTGAGAGCTTCATTCCTCTAGACCAAGTCATCGCTTGGCCGCCCCTCCTCTCCTTCCATCCATACCCTCGGCGCGCAAACAACGCAGGTCGCGGGAGTAGGTGGGCTGGCATGTGCAACACGTAGCCGAGCCATCGGAGCCTGGTGCGTGCAATAACGGTGCTGAGCGGTTCATTCCCCTTTCCTGTGCCATAAACAAGGCGTCGAACACGCTCGTTGCTCACGCGGTGTTCGTACCAAATTTGTGTCAAATTACGAAGGCACCGGTGGTCGAACGTAACTAGACTCTTTATGTCCGTGGATCTAAGGGGCCGGGATTCACAACAGTACAGAATGGTCGAACGTACCGCTGCGATGTACACTCTACCCTTCAGCGCGAGAGTGATGTTGGGCCGGCGCTATAAGTGGCGAAGGTTAGTAAAAGCGCTTCCAGCATTTGCTATGCGGTTAGTGAACTTATCTTCAATCCCACGGATGCTGATACAGCTTCCAGACAGTTGAATTGTTAAACGACTTCTAGCTGATCCCCACCAAGGGTCATCGTAGGATGCGGTCCAGTTCAACTTTGGAAGATCGCTTTGCACTTCGAGGGTGCGAAACAAAGCCCGAAGCGGCTGATAGTCAGTGCTAATCTGTCCAGTGCCGCTCGGCAATTCTGGGAGCTGTCGCTGATTAGAGCAATATCATCAGCATACTCCAAGTAAAGATGTCCTTCTCCTGGGAGCAGATCCACACCTTCTATCTTGTGTCCTGTGAAAACGATTTCAATGACTATCAACGGCGAAGTTGACGAGGAAACGCGACAGCGGTCATCCTTGTCTCACACCGCTGGAGATATTGAAGTGCGACCATAACTTGCTGTAAGCCCTCACTCTGCCTGAGCTATGAGCAGGAAATGCTTGGATAATATTCACATATTCTTCAGGTACACCGTTCCTGAGTAGACAGTCCCAAAATGCACGTCTATCCATTAACCGAATGCACCTTTAATATTGAGGAACACGACAACCGTGGGCTGCCAATATAGGTGACGATGCTCTTATAACTGACGCAAGTGAACACATGGTCAATGCAGCCAGGACCTCGACGAAACCCGGCTTGTTCTTCACGAATATGGCTTGTACGAGTGCCAGTTAGTCTATGAAGGAAGAAAGATGCAAGCAATTTGGAGGCGATGGTGATCAGACTGATTCCTCTATGGCTGCCGCAATCCGATCGTGAGCCTGCCTTGATAATTGGGACTATGATGGCGCAGCTCCAGTCGGTTAGGACAGCTTTCTGGTCCCACAGTTTCACTAGTAACTCGTGTAAATCATCCACAAGAGCAGGTCCCCCGAATTTGAAGAACGTTGGAGAAAGACCATCTGGTCCCGCGACTTTATGTAACTTCAACAGTCCTGTCACACGTAAGACTTCTGAGCGAAAGAGTTGATCAAAGGGCGAGCCCAGGGAGCTGCGCGATCAGCTGCCGGCGAGCAATCTAACAATTCCGGTCGATTAATTTGCCTTTCAAACTACTCAGTCCAACACTCCAAGAGTTTTGACAAATTGTGGATAGACTGTCCACTCTCGTCACGTGTAGTTTCATTAATCTCAGGCCTCCTGCTGCTCGTTTCCCAAATCAGACGGAATAACTGCCGATGGTTTCCAAAGGCAGCGGTCTTTTCCAACTCTGAAACACGATGAGACCACCAGGATTCGCGGTCTGTCTTCAGGCTAGCACTGAGTTTTACCCGGAGCTCTTCGCGAGTTTCATTGTGCTCGCTTCCAGCCGGAATATTCCAGTGAGCATTGATAAGTTCCAGAGAATGCGAAACGACCTAATGTCTATTTTGGCGATTAGACTTACCACATGAGGATTTTCCTGCTGCTAGTAAGGTCTGTTGAAAATTGGGGCAATTAACATCAATTGCATCCAGTGAGCAATTATTCAACTCGCACGACAGCGTACTCTGATAGGTATTCAGAACAGCTGGCTTCGCCAGTAGGCTGGTGTCAATGCGGTCACAACGTCATCGTAGGCGTCCGCCAAAGCGTACCCGAATGTCAGCATATACAAGTGCATGGTCGATGTCTACACATGTGCTCCAAATCGAGCGACAGTTCTGGACGCAGCTTCACCCTCGGTAACTTATCATAAAGTGATTGATTTGCTTCCAAGGCTGGTTGGAGGTTGGTTGGCACCAGTTCACCCTCCGACGTGTGCTGTGTTGGAAATTACTGCTCGCAAAATTAAGTGAGCATCCTCATTCAAATGAAGTAACCGCTCACCGTTATCATTACGGGAGATTACATCATGTTGGGAGCCCAGATGCAGTTCATCAGTGGATAGTTTGCCAACTTGAGCGTTCAGATCCCCAGCCGGAACAACTGTGCCCGAGCTTCTTCGGTGGCGAAGAAGCGCGTTCAGCTGACGATAGAAGTCGTGTTTTACCGAGTCACAGCTACAGATTGTGGGTGCTTAGGCAGTCATAACGAATAGACGCTTGTTGGTCCCACGCGACTTGGAAGGTTTGAACGATCCAGCCAATCGGAACGCACACATCCGCTACTGATTGAAATCCAATCAACCAGAATAGCTTTAGCCCGGGGACTCAGTGCAAAATCAACACCGGCTTGGCCGGTACTTGAAGCTGCATCGTCACCAGATGAGCGCAATGAGAAAGTGCTGCTAGTGTCACCTGAAGGGGATCGCAAAGTGCGCAGAGAACTCGACTCATGCGGGCGGGTCTCCGATAAGCACCAGATATAGATCGAGAGGATCTCTAATGTTCGGGCAAGTGCTGACTGTTGACCGATCTGAGGCAACGCGATAACATTGAGGCATGCAATTCTGAAGGAGGATCGAGGGCTCCAAATGGAAACTGCGGAACTGGGCAAAGCCGCTTTTTTGGACACGGGCCTGTTGACAGAGCAGGAATGAAGCTCCGCGTGCACATGTTAGTTGAAATTTAAAGACATGCGATTATTGAGACAAGGTGAGGTAGGACCAAGAATTGGAGGCTTGAAAACTGGGGGGATAAAAGTGAAGCTGGAACGGGACGATAAGTTTGAAAATGTGTAATAGGAAGACAGGAAGGCTTAAGCAGTGGCATCCAAACCTCTATCCACCGTGCTCGATGCAGCAGAAAGGCAATCGTTGCTTATTCTGTGCAGTGGACAGAGCATCAGGAAATTGGCTGAGAAATGTTTCATAGATTTGCGTGGGCAGGCTATTGTCAGGTTGCCCGGGCCTAGATAGGAAAAGGATTAGGGTTCTCAACCAAAACCTGACCGCAAGGCAGCGGCTTTGGGGTGGGGCTACAAGGAGCCACCCTCATTTTAAACCCCAACCTGGAGAACCAGCAGGCTGAGTTTATCGGGCCTCTAACCATTGACCAATCTGGTATGAGTGGCTCAGGAGGTGCAAAAATGCATTACCCAGCATAGCTCAATGGATCACTAAGGCATAAAACCATCGCACCACGGTAATCTCCAGCCTCATTGAGATGGTAACATAAACACGATGGAATAGCCTACATATGTTTGCTACACGTCAGTTATTGTTGCTAGCCACGCATTTGATTTGTGAATACGTGTGACTAACTCTACTTGTTTTCACGGAGATAAAAGGTTTTTTCCGTGTGCAAAAGCTAAAATTCTGCGACAACTCTGTCATGCCAACAACATATCATGCTTTTCCCACAAAGACTAAAATAAATAGAAACCC